ATTTTAAGGTTTATAAAATATTTTAATAATGCATTTGTATAATATCCAAATGTATTAATATAATATTGGATCATTACAGCAAAACATCAGGGAGAATATTGTCTTTATATCCATCTTACACTTGGAAAAGCAAATAGGTTAAGAAACTTATCAAAGTTTATAGAGCTAGTTAATGAAACAGTCAGAAAAAAACCCTCAATGGTTCTGATCTGCAAACTATGCTTTATGTTTTTTTTGGCATACCCTTCATATAATATTTAAGAATAAATTATTATATTATTACAGTTGAAAACATTAAAAGGAAAATCTTTAATCTTTTCCCCAAATCCTTATTGCAGACAATGGACCAAGCTAATAGGGATTTATAGATGGCTGATTGGTGATCCTTTATTTTGATATATGCAAGGCTAAAAGTTTTAGGCCAGATAATCTAGGAAATTTTCTACGAATTAATGGTAGTTACAAACAATTACATAAAAATATTCTTTTTGGGTGATTTTTATTAGCTTTCTCTTTTTCTCTGAACTCTCTTCATTTTGTTATGTGTATGTATTTACTTTTTAGCTCAACCTATCATTTGCATGTATTCCTACTAATGAGAAATTGTGGTTTAAATCTATGTCTAGGCAAGTGCAATAGAGTTAGAATTTTCATTCATTGTGTTTGATTTAAGTATTTTAATTTAAACTTCAGTAGCATTATTTTTTTCTTTGCTGAGGAAGATTTGCCCTGAGCTAACTCTGCTGCCAATCTTCTTCTTTTTGTGTGTCAGTTGCCACCACAGCATGGCCACTGACAGATGAGTGGTGTAGGTCCACATCTGGGAACTGAAGCCAGGCAGCCGAAACAGGGCGCACCAAAGTTGACCACTGGCCCATTGCTTTCTCATTGAATATTTCCATTCTTTGCAATCTACCTTTTATCTCTATGAAGTTAGCATCCTAACAGAAAGGGGTGCAGTATCCCAGTTATGTGGAGTTTGTTTTCCATCTGCTTTTCTTACAATTATGAGAGATGCTGATCATAATCCAACATTTGGTTTCCTCTTATCCTGCCCTTACTAGTGTTTTAATTGATGTCTTTCATTTTTAAAATACGTTTTTCTAGAAAAACTTTACAAATAGAAATAGGTTGAAAGTGTACAGACAGCTTAATGATATCTGCATAGTATTGTTTTATCAGATCATGTAAAAGAACATTATTAAAATTTAAGTGCATATGTTATTATGATGCATATAAATAAACCTGTATATTTTTTCAAAGATGCACAAATTTAACTGCACATGTTATTATGACACATATGAATAAACCTCTTTATTTTCAAAGCTGCACAGGTAAAGGGATTGTGTCCACATGTTTGAAGACAAATTTTGGGCTGATTTAACTCTGAGAGCTATGTCGCCATGTGTAGGTGTGTTATATGATTGTCCTGGAAAAAAAACAGACTAGTTTTACTGAGTGGTGTTTTTCACGCAATAGAAGTGAATAAATTGATGAATAATTTTGGCATGACATAGAAGTAGTTGTAGGTGTATTACTAGCACTTGGGTTTAAACATTTCATTCAATGTGAAGTCAACGAAACTAAGCCATCAGCATCGTCATCATCAGTATCATCATCCTACTAGAAGATGCATGAGAAGCAGATTTTTGAGATTTTGAAAAGAGGCTAAAAACAGTAGAATTATTTTTTACTTGGTTTGAAGTACTTGAAGTTGTTAATGTTTGCCTCCTTTTGACCCCCTAAAATGGGAAGGAAAATTTCGCATATATAAATCATTATGATCTTTTAAAATATATTAACTCTAGAAATTTTTACCATTAATTGTTATCTAAATTTAGGAGGAACAGTTTACTGCCCATTGACTCTCCATCAACTTTTACTGTATAATTATATAATCTGAGGGTTTTTTAGGAGTACCAATATCTGATTTTTTTCCTCTATGGTAGTCTACTGAGTATCGTACACGTAAAATTACAAATCATAAAAGAATGCTTTGTCTAACTGGTCCTTATTTTAGGAAATAAAGAAAGTGCAAAACCATGGCTTGTGTAAAAAGTTCTTGAATATTTAGAAGCTGGACAGATAGATGGATGGATGGATGGATGATAAAAATATTCACTCAAGGGTGTGTGTTTTTTCTTCATGATGTGTAATAACTAATTTTCAGTCTTGCACTTTTCCATAGATTTGGCCCACTTGGCTAAGCTGATTGGTAGCATTAGTGTGACATGACTGTGTCAGAACGGTTTCCAGCTAGGACCTTGAATCAAAGCTTCCATCCATGATCCTCTTCTACAGGTCTTTGTGATGGACAAAAATCCATTATCAGAAACTCACCAGCTCTGACTTCTGTGTTGGAAAATATGTAGTATACTGTTCAATATTTGGGGATATGGGAATTTATTGCTAATGGTGAATGCATTCGCTGAGAAGCATTGAAAGCAAATTAGGAGTCCACAAAGCTAATCAAGATTTCTTCTATAAACTTTCTTGGATCTAACAGTTTTAGAGATGTCCAAAAATGTTCCCTCCTTCTTTAGCCTTTGTCTGGCATTGTCTTTCTAGCTCTTCATTTGTTTCTCCCTGCCTTCTCTTTACACCTCTAATCATATCAGCTTGTCGTTCTCATTGGGTTAGAGTTGAATGATAAACGTCTTAAGATACATTGAGTGTCGTATGCTTTTAATTTTCTCATGTGAATTAGAAATTTTCTGAATCACTTAGAAATTAATGTGAATTTCTAATTTTGAATTTTAAAAACTCTTCTAGTGAAAGGTGAATGTATCTTAGATGACCAGATAAAATGGGACCACCTTATATAAACTGGAAAAATATCTTGGAGAAAGTTTTGAAGAGGAAGAAATGAAGAAAGATAAAAAATGATAATAAGGGAAAGAAGGAGAAAGTGTTAAACTTTAGTAAAGCAAATATAGACACAGTAAAAATAGAACATTAGAAATCAGATGAGCTTAGCCATAGGACTCTTCTGTAGGCACAGAGTGCTTTAAAAGAAGTAGTTAAGGGAGCTGGCCCGGTGGTGTAGTGGTTAAGTTCACATCCTCTTCTTTGGTGGTCTGGGGTTCACAGGTTCGGATCCCAGGGCGTGGACCTAGCACAACTTTTCAATGCTGTAGTGTTGTCTCACATAAAATAGAGGACGATTGGCACAGATGTTAGCTCAGCAGCAATCTTCCTCAAGCAAAAAGAGGAAGATTGGCAATGGATGTTAGCTCAGGGCCAATCTTCCACATCAAAAAAAATAAATAAGAAGAAGTTAGAGAAGATTGCTTCTTTGTGACTCACATGCACCATTATTGTCAATGACTACTTAGACGCCGTACCTAATTTCTTTGTTTTTTGATAATTATCTAAACCTACTTAATTACTCTTGAAGTTGTCTCCTGATTTCATTTAAACTCTGCTCTGATGTTTCAGTATGATATGTCAGGCTTTATCTAGAACCAGGTGTATGTTTCACTAAAAGATAATCAACTCTTAAAGTAGTATTATTCAGATAATATGAAAAATTGTGTTTTTCTTTATCTCATGAATCAGTACTAATCGTGGACTTTTGAGTGTATATATTCACCTTTAGGATTCACATAGAGATATATCAGCCTTTCCCAAACTGTTTCATGGAACTCAGATAACCCGCAACTCACATGTTCCATGTGATATTAATAAATATTCCAAAAAGAGGACCCTTGGTTACATTGATTTGCAAAACATTGCATAGGCCATATCTCCCTCTGAGAGTTTTATAGAGGCTGTTTGCATATTAAAGGCTCTGAGAGGCCCTTCAGTGAAACAATAATTCTGATGATGCTGTTAAACCAAATCTATTTTCAAAACGATTTGAGAAATGCCAAAATATGTACAATGAATTACTTGGCTGAAATTATTAATGGATAATGTTGCACTGTTTTATCAATTAAGGTAGAACCTAATACCACAAAAAGAGTCTCTCACCTCGTTTTACTCCCAAGTAATCTTCTCTTTATTTGATAAAGATTTATATGATCCTGTCCTAAACCTAAACAAAATTACAGACTGGAAACCAGATTACTAACAAGCTCTTACCCACCACTCCCCCATAGAAATGAAACGTTTCTTTATTTTTAACCCCTTTCTTTCCCTTTTGTCTCTTTCCTTCATCCTTTAAATCTACTGCCAGCAAAAACTCCCTGATTATTGACCCAACCCATCACTCTTTGGGAAAAAGTTTTCCTAAATGCCTGTCTACTCTCACCTACTTCTAGCTTCGCCCTCTAGCTCTGCCCTACCAACCAACACAGCCCTCCTTCAACATCCTAACCTTCTGATTTCTTTCAGGAAGTTCCTCTTTCTATCTTGTGTTCAATTCAAACCTGTTGTCGGTTTCCCTCATTTGAAAGAAAATACAAATATGTGTCAAAGTGTAAATAACATTCTCCTTCTGAGATTTGTTGACATTATAATATGGAGCCATCCTTTCATCTTATCTTGCGTACCATAATTCTGGCTCTCCACAGCGTGTAGGTGCTCTCAATTCAATTCAGTTCCACAGGTCCACAGAGTCCTCTGGTAGACCAGCGGGGCTTCCATAGTTTTCTGGGTCTGCTGGTCTACTTGATCCTACACAATGAGCTTTCAAGGATGATTGATAAAAAGGATACAAATTACTGTTGTCTTTAATTTGAGACACTACACTAAGACCAAATAATAATTTTTTGTGTTAATTCACATGGAAATGTGCCTTTTCTTTGATGTATAAATATGACTTTGATGGCCTTGCATAAATTATCTTTTGGGTTTGTTATCCTCTGTCAGATTTGTTTTCCAACCCTTGGTAATCTTTGTTTAACTACCACTTTTTTACACTCCTCTAATACCCTTAGACCATTCTGCGTTCTACTATCTGTCTCCATAGCACTCATGGGTGATACTCTCTGTGTATTTAATTGGTCTCAAAAAGATAGCTACCTCAACAGTAAGCCAGTGCCTGTCTTTGCCCGCAGGCGTGCGTCTTGACAGAGTACGTGGAGGTCGGCAGAAGTACAAGCGCAGAATAGATGCGGAGAACAGCCCATACCTGAACCCGCAGCTGGTTCAGCCAGCCAAAAAGCCATGTAAGTACAGCAGACGTGTCTGGCTTTCCAGCACACAAAATCCTCCCAGTTGGCTCTATGTCTATCAGTTTTGGCGTGCCCATCTCTACTAACTCCAAGGAGATTTGTCTTTAATGGGGGGACATGGCTCTTTTCCCAAGGATTGCCTTTGAGGAGCGATGACAACTCAGCTAATTATCTTTTTTTCTATGATTTTCTTCCCCCTACCTTTTTTCACCTAGTCATTTTGTGGAAGCATAAGCATATTAAAGCATAGCTTATATAGTGCGAATTTTACATTTACTGGTTATCTTTATTTTCAGAGGTACATAAAATGGATCATACTGCGATCATTAGTTCATTGGAGCTGTTAGTTTCAGATTTCACAAGAAGGTGATTTTTGTAGTTTTCACGAACTAAATGAGTTTGACTGCTCAACCTCCCAATGAAAATACATTAGGAGCCTCATTAATTTGGAGCTATAGAAGGTTAACACACTAGCTAGCAATAGATTAAAACAAGAATGGGCCTTCCTAATAACAAGCATAGGTTGGTGGTTCCATCTCAGATGCCCTTATGGGCATTACGAATTGTTTCTAAAGAGCCCATGGTTTTATAACACCAGGTTGCAGTTTGAAAGGATGACGGGTACATTGCTCAAATGCAAGCCCCATTCTCTTTGTCATTAACTAAAAAGAGCTGAAATATGGATTGAGGCAATAACTGTACCCCATTTTCTGAAAAATCGTTTTGTAGCTATAATACAACAGAGCTAGCCTTTTAGAATGTTTACACAGAGTTCGTATTCGGCGCTGAGAAGTGCTTTGGTGAATCTCTTCTTACATTTATCTGTCTTTGTCTCAGAAGACACAACGAGCGCTCATCAGAGGAAGCTGCATCTAAAGCAGTTCTAGAAAAGAGCGGGTAATTTTTGATCTGCTTTCAAGGGAAGACAGAAAGTGTCCTCTTCTAATTCAGATTCTCCAGGAGGGGTCGCTGCTGTGCATCATACGTGTGAGCATATGGGGATCTGTGAAATAAATAAAACAGACCCTGAACTGTAAACGAAAGGACACTTTTGCTATGTCAAAGGGAAAACAACCAGTTTTACATAAAATTAAAGCTTAGGCGAACATATGGCATGGTTTCCTTTTGCCTTTCCAAAAAACATTATGTTGATTATGCCTTCAATTGTCCAATCTGGCATCTTCTCCTCAGCCTGCATAAGCTGTTTGGCTTCTGCAGATGGAATCTGGGACTACATTAAGCAGATTTTGCACATTATTATAAGAAACTTTCTGATAATACAATAAAATGCAATAAACACTAATGCTTAATTTCATTAGAGGGTTAGTTTTCCTGGATTCAGTAATGTACAGACTGCCCATTTCTCATTCGTTTTATACAAACGTTGACTGAAACCATTGATAATTTCCTCCACTGAGAGAAAAATGAGCACCAGCCCATTTGTAAGCCCACATGAATGAGGAACATCTATGGTTTTCTGCGTAAACCTGAGAAATTGGGAAGTGGCTTGTCAAGTACCTTTAAGAAGATTACAGCAATTTCAGTGAGCTCCATTTGTCTGAGATAAAGAGGACTCCTAATAAATCATTACTCATTATCTCAAGGCCTCTGTGTTAATTTTCTTTAGTCCATCCAATTAGTGTGTTTCTGTAACAAACATTTATAAAACTTAATTTTCAGATCCTGTCAGATAAGTGTCGAGAGACGGTCCACAGGCTTTGCTGAGATTTCTAGGCCCTGACTGATTGTTTGTGTATTGCAAAAGCCCAAGAATGAAAATTGGGTCCTATTGATTCTAATTAGGGAAACATTAAATAAGATTTACCTAGAAACAGTGCTGCCGGCGATTCCATTTTCTGAATGATGGGAATTCCTCAGCTTCAACCAAATTTCTCTGACCCCTCCGGTCAGGTATCCATTGACTTGAGGAAAACAGGTACCATTTTCCTTGACCTAGAAGAACTGGAATCAAGCTTTCCTTCGGTTACATGTTTGCACCCTTTATTATTGCATTTTCTTCTAATCCTGCGCATCTAGTGGCTGCTGACAGGTTTTGTTACATTGTCAGAGCAATGGAAGTTGAAACTTTTCCAAGCGTAACTAAAAATACAGGGTGTTGTTTCTATAGCATCTGCAAGAAAGAAATGTCATTCTTTGCAGATCCTGCAAATTAAAAAAGAATCTTTAAATTTAAATTTTTTTAATTTTAAATTTTTTCTCTAGAAAATATCATATTTGGGAATATCTCCTCCCAAATCTGCACTTTTAATTTGATGATAATTGAGTATTGCTGCCAGTGAATGGTTATCTGTTGCTTATTTGCAATAAATATAATTCATATGGCAGCCATAATAATAAAATTTTAAAATATGTCAGAAATATTGCTAATTATGACATGGATAAGCCTCCTTGTTATTTCGTTAAAGGAGGCTAAAAAAATGCTGTTTTCAATTCTAAAGTGTATTTTGGGTTAAAAAGTTAAAAACTCACGGGGAAAGAAAAATGATCCACTAAACGAAGAGAAAACTTTGCCTTTCCCCACAAAAATCCCATTTAATGCCCTATTTTTCTAGAGTAACAGTACATAGAACATTGAAATGTTTGGGTTTATTCTTACCCATTTGCATCTCCTCACTTCGAAGAAAGTATAAAATCTAAAGCTACACACAGAAATGGAAAACAGGGCCAACAAGAAAAATCATTCCATTGGCGAGGCTTTACAACCCCCTCCATAAACTGGCACATGCCCCGAGCCATAAAACACATTTGATATGAAGCTTTCCATTTGTCTCTAGTGTTTATTTTATGAAGGATTTTAAACACATATATCACAAATTTCAGACAGATAAATCTGCACCAGAGAATGAACTAAAGACAGCAGATCAAAAGAGAGGATTAAAGAATTAGACACTCTGAAGACAAAATACTGTAACATTTAAGTAGGAGTATTTTTCTGCAAGCTGATAGTGGCTATATTTGGAAGATTGGCTGGGTGTGTGAGGAGGGGGAGAAAGGAAAGAAATTCCTATTTAATGCATCCCACAGAGATAGAGTTATATAGCCAGCAATTCACCCAGGCAGAAGGGCTCTGACCTTTGCCCTTCTTTAAAGGAATTAAGACAGTTAATGACTTTCATGGCCATTACGACTGTAGGCATTAGTAATTCTTTGCCTCCCATGTTATATTCTATATTTCAATGGTTTACTGTGGATTTTTATTTTAAAGCTGTTGTATACTATTTAATCTGCTTCCCCAAATCCCACTTAAGAATCAAAGAGGAAACCCAGAAAGCATCTAACTTCTCTTATCTGTCTGCTATAAAAAATTTCATTACAGGACAGATGCTTCATTCCAGCCAAGGCAGGTAGAGCAAAGAAGAAGAAGAAAGGGATACATTCCATTACAAATGCAGCGGCTTCTTTCTCGCTATGCATTTTCCCGAACACTGCTTAATATACATAAATTGAACCGTAAACAGAATAGCTTGGGTTTATCGCAGGTGATTTGAATTATTTTTCAAAATGCAACATCCTTTAGGGTTTGTGAAAGAGGGGTGATGCTACTAGTGATTCTGTAGTGCTCTGGTCTCATCCTGCAGATAACAAGATCGTCTCACATTTGTTGGTGGCTGAACCGGAGAAGATCTATGCCATGCCTGACCCTACCGTCCCAGACAGTGACATCAAAGCCCTCACTACACTGTGCGACCTGGCCGACCGAGAGTTGGTGGTTATCATTGGATGGGCGAAGCATATTCCAGGTACATTTTCTGAAAAGAAAAAAAAAATGAAAAAGAAAAGAAAAGGTTGCAATTAATTCCCTAGGTTGTAGTTGTAGATTTAGGCAAATTCAAAATCTCCTCATTAGGATTTTTTTGAACCTTTACATTTGTTTTTATCTTACTTCATTTACAGCTTTTCTAATCCTAATAGAATCATAAAGCTTTTTATGTCTGTACCATCTTGAACTCTTGTTCATTATTTTTTCTTATGTGAAAGTACTATTGCCAACATAAGATAAAGAGAATAGAACTTTTAAAAACATTTCTTTTAAATGTTCAAAATTCTGAGCTTTCCCCTAAGAAAATACTTCTACTTTTCTTTTCACTTTAAAAAATCTTTTTGCCAGTAATAATCTAATGTACCTTTTTTCCTTTTAAGATTCATTCATTTTGTTGCTCCTGGTGGCTATTTATACTGAATTGCGGTTCATATTCACAAGCTTTGCTTTGGTTTACAATTTGATATTTATCATAAATTTACACATAAGTTACGAAGATAAATGTTAAATTAACATCATAAATTTTCTCCTTTGGTAACTTAAAAGTAGCATTTTTAAATCTCCTATCACTTTTTTTTCTTGGCCCATCCTGTGATACCAATAAACACATACCCAATCACAAGTTTTGAGAATTTTAGTAATTGAATAATTTTTTTTGTGTGTTTGCTTGAACTTTGATCTTTAAATGGTTTATAAACAAGTTTTGGAGAGATGAGCAATGTTTTTCTGGTACAGTTAACTTATTTCTGTCTCCTTAAACTAGTTTGTCTTTATGCTTTGAATGCTACAGTAATTTCTTTAATCAAATTGATGGAAGCCTCTTTCCCAGCCCACACTGAAACCAATTTATTGGTCATGATACGCCAGCCATGTTGCTAACAGTCGTAACGAACTGTCAGGCGATATCGCAGTGAAGCTAATTTGAAGTCATTAGGTGTGCAGCGTGCAGGCGACAATTTGTTACAGTGGTTAGGAACACAGCTGACATTTCTGAATGGCTTGGTTCGGCGCAGTTCTAGATGAGGCCAAGCAAATTGTAAACTAATTTAAACATCACTCTGTATTATACCAGCTACTTTGTCTTACACTGTTTGCTAATAAAGCACCCCAAATTAAGTCAAAACTCGTTAAATAGGTGAGCTTGAGTGTGTTCTGTAGAAGATAGCTACACAAGGGCTACTGCATGTAAAAGAAGGATGAGAATTTGATCAGGTGGATAGTTGATATTGCATTTGGGTTGTAGTCACAGCTAGATAACTTTCAGAAAAAGCGAAAACAGCACAATAGGCTATGCTAAAAGATGTTAAGACGTTTGAGAATTGTGGCAATGGGAACAGCCAGAATTTGCTTGCACAATATATGAAAATTTATTTGGAAAGGAAGTGTTATGAAGGGTTTTAGAGCAGAATGAGACAAAGCTAACATTTGTTGAGGTGTTTGGAGGTACTATTTTAGACAATCAATATATATTATATCATTTATATTCATGTATTTTATCATTATATATACACTCATGTACATATATGCATATGTGTACACCCACACATGCGCACATATATATATATACTCACACATTTGAAATATTGTTATTCTAACCCAGGTTTCTTAGCCTTGACACTATTGGTATTTGGAACTAGGTCATCCTTTGTTGTGGGGGGCTGTCCTGTTCACGCTAGGATATATAGCAGCATCCTTCGCTTCAACCCACCAGCACCCTTGAGTTGTGACAAATAAAAATGTCTGTAGACATGACCAGATGTCCCCTGAGGAGCAAAATCACGCCCCCCTCCACCCCAATTGAGAACCATTGTTCTAAGCCAAGAATGAGGTATTATTATCCTTAATTCAAAGTTAGGGAGATTTGAGGCAGAGGGAGGTGAAAACACTAGCACAAGTTCACAAATGTATCCAGTGCTTTCAAAGCATATATTTAGCATTGCTTCCTGGGGTAGAATTAGGATATTTTAGTGTCCCAGTTGATTGTACTTGAAAGAGCCATTTCAAAATAATGATGATGATAGTTATTATTATTAATAACAACAGCATGAAAAGCTATGTCACTATGACTCCAAACTACTCACTCTTTCAGAGAACTCTACCCAAGTTCTCCCTGAATGAAGGGATCTGTTAAGCCAATATTTTGATATGGTGCAGACATTCCATAATAAGGACGGAGAAAACTCCACAACTCCTTTCCAATGTTCACTAGTAAAGAAAAGTCAGTGATAAATTTGTGGGTCCAGTTGTGCTTCTAAGTAGAGATGTCAGCTTGCAAAAGAACCTGTCACAGTAAAGGGGCTCTAGTGACTTTTGTGAAGACAGTAACTTTAAATAACTATGAGTAACTGCATTTCCAGTGGTGGAAACAATTACTATACGATTATGTGTTCCGTCTTAAGCTGAGGCTTAGAATTGGCGGAGACTGACGTTATTCTCTCCCTCCATGGCAAATGCCAGAGGAGGTCACTGTGGAGTGATGACTCATAGCTCTGGTTTTTGTGATACCCTGAGGGTGTTTTAAATGATTGCAAGGAGTGTCTTGGCTTTTCAGAAAGGGATTAGCAAAACAAGAATTAAATGAAATTCTTTTTAACTTTTGAACAGTAAGTGTGCCATCCAGTGTTTTGAGATGAGAGAGGATGCTCTGCGTCACATTGCTGGTATACCTGGGCTCAGGGGGCTTGGGCACAGCAGCAATGTGGAGTCTGGGCTGGGAGGGTAAAGACAAAGAGCATATAAAGATAAAAGTCACATTTCTGCCTTGGTAAAAGTAAAATCGTGTTCTTGATAACAGGACCCAGTCCTGATAATGAAGGTTAGAGCTGGAATGAAAGGCAAATCAGAATTGAAATTTTACTTGTCTTAGTCTTAACTTGAAAACTCTGTTTTAGTAACCATTATGGTGAAATTAAAGTGAAATCTTTTTTTTAATGTAATACAATTTCCATCTTTGCTCTCTGTATGCTATTCTCAGTTTGTATAATCACACACACAGACACACACAGAAAGACACACATACCTTTTTAAAATTAAATTTAACATCTAAGATAAGATCGGTGGTCTTTCTGCACTGCTGAGAATGTACTCTTGTATCCTTGCTTTCGCTACATAAAAAAGTAAAGAATTCAACAAAAGGAAATATTGAAGAAAAATACATATGGAGTGGGGTTTTTTTTATCAGTAAATAGAATTAGTTGACTGACTTAAATAAATCATATAAATGGAAAAGTGTGTTGTTATGAAACATGACCAGACTTTATCTATAGAAGAGAAAAGATCACGAGGTCTTTAGAAAAAGCTTGACTTTACTTGGAGGAGCATGAGGGCACAAGAACAGATGATGGTGCCCTAATAGCCCTTTTTAAGAATGACAGGGCCCCGCCATTAGCATCCTTTTATATCCTTGGAAATTGCTCATGCCTCGCTTTTCTGGTTCCTATCTGCCTGAGTCTTTTTTATTTCTCTTTCAATTTCGTCCGCGCTCGGATAAGCGCATGCTAACACAATATGATTGAGCTGTAGAATGGAACGCTGTCGCCTCTAATCTCTTTTATGTAGATACGGAGGTGCTGCACACTCCACTTCATTCTCTCTCCATTGTTGGCCTTTTTTAGAATGGGCTGCCAAGTCATGGAGGCTGCGTCAAATATTAGAGCTAGGTTTCACCCGGTGTGATAAGACGATTATCAGCCCAGCCGTCAGATCTGTTATTGTTCTTTGCGGTTGATTAAAATATTATTATGTACTGTAACTTTCTTAGCAAAATGCAAGAAGGTGCTTAGTCAGATGGTGCTTAAAAAAGCGTAACCCATATTAGCTGACCTATATAAGTGGCTTAAATATATTTATGGATCTCGCCAGACAGTTTATTTTGAAAGAATAGAAAGGTATTTGGACAATTAAGGGGATGGATGCGTTTTAGAAATTTTTTTTCCTTTATTAAATGTGGCAACTTTTCGGGTAGACTTGTTTATTTTTAATGTGAGAAATTAAACAATTACCTACTAAGGAAGGAATACTCTGCTCAAGTTTGGGGCCTATCAGTCACATTTCTAAAATCATGTCTATTGTAATAACATCTAGCAGGAAAAAAAACTATAATTTTTCTTCATACGAGTGAAGGCAGGAAATATTAAGCTCTAACAGAAAACCACGCTAGGAAGGTAATGTGATGAAACAATCGTTATGTATAGTTATTCACGTTAGAAACAGAAATCTAAAGTGTGGAAATCATTATTTTCCATTTATGCAAAAACTTTTTTTTGCAAAAACATTCAGTTAGAACAATATATCAAAAATTGCTCAATGAGTTGGCTCTTCATATTTTTCCCAACAGAAGTATAGACTTTTCTAGAAATGACAAATCTCTAAAGAACATGGATAAAGTATTTTCTACGTTAGGATACAAATTTTGTGGGAGAATGCTAAAGAATATTTTGAACATTTATTGCTAGTGATACTGTTTAAAGATATATTTGTTGTTTGAATGCATTTTATGTAGAGATCAATTTTTAAGATTATATCATCCCCCAACCAAAGTTGTAGAGGTTTCATCTTTTACATGCCCATTACTCATCTTAAACTGGTAGCCCCATTAAGTGATTACAATATGTGCTAAAGCACACAGAAAAGTGGTGGGAATAATTACTGTAAGAATATGTTTCCATTTTGTAACACAAAGTATGTTTCCATGTGTATTTCTGTGTGATTATGGTTTGATGTTCAGGAAACAGGGCATGGTTAACTAAGAGAGAGTTATATCATATGTAAATAGCATATCATGTATAATAGTTATATCACATGTAAGTAGCACCTAATACTCTGTTTCAGATCTCTATCATTGACACTTGAAAAATGTTTTATTGATTAGTTGATTAAAAAATATGTATGGGACCAGCCCACTGCCATAGTGGTTGGATTCACACACTACACTTCGGCAGCCTGGGGTTCACTGGTTCAGATCCCGGGTGCAGACCTACA